CTTCAGCTTTGTTCAAAAAAAGAGCTCACGACTACAACATCCCAGCAGTATTTCGACTATTTGAAATACTGTGTATTTACATCAGAGTACTTCCAGCTCCCGGCCAGGGTCCACCAACATGCTTGGCGAGGCTAAAGCCTGTTAGCTCTGAGGGCTAACCGCCTCGAACTATGACTGCTTCTTAAAGTTTGAAGCAGCACAGAGTCTAAATCCACAGCTACGAGTGCCAGCAGCAGACGCCAGACATGTGGACGCTTTATAACCGGGAGTAAAAAACGAAGTTAACTGTTGGCGCTCGTCGACACAGCTCCGCTCACATCCCACAGCAAACTGCGCTAAAACGTCAAATAATACCAGCAATAAACTGAAAATTCCGCACCAGCCCACTCAAGTAGGCTGTGGAGGATTTATCGGATGTATAAATGTGACAAACAAGCGCGACTAAAGTTGGATGATCACGGATTTCTGAGATATTTCAGTCCGACAGAAAAGACACTCACCATCTTGGAAGCAGGTTCCGTGCGAAGAGGAAGCCGCAAGCCTCTCGCGAGAGTTTGACCCCTTCGGGGAACGGAAGTTGGTCCATCACTATCGAGTCGTCCGACTGGGAAAAAAACTGTGTTCAAAAGAAACAAGCAAATGCGTGGCAAACGCGGTTAGTTTCGTTAACTCGCGCGAAATAAATGTTTATTGAGTCCCACTGATTTATCACCCACGGCACGTGATCGTGATAATACCGCGCTCGGTTAATAATACGATATTTTTGCTAAGTACGAGGTGGAACTTTAGATTTGTATTTTTTTCTGACGTCAGCGTAAATTGGCCGCAATGGCGGAGGGAACCGCGACCGCTGCTGGAGCTGGGCCCGATGTAAACACAGCTGGGAACCCGACAGAAGTCGCCATGGCGTATTTACAGGACGAGGTAAGATGTTCTTCTTTTGCCTGCGTTCAGTTTCACGGAGCTAATCTCCGGTGAGCGCAAGCTTTAGCTGCGTGAAGCTCAAAGAAGCTGTTAGCAGGTAGAATCATTCTACGGAGCGCTGATGCTGCTGGATGCTAATGGGTAGCATTGACTTCCTTTTTCTGAGGAGGAAAGGCGATTTAGGTTTATCAGTTGTCGTTCTGGTCCCGCATTAATAATCCTGATTATGGCTGATTATTGATTATTATTCTTAGTTAGCGTATTGTCTGTCTTGTTAATGTTGGTTTATAATGGAGCACTGTAACAAAAAATTAATTTCCCCCAGGAATCAATAAAGTATTCTGATTCTGATTATCAGATTTGGACTGTTTTGCTGCATCAATCCGTTTGTTATTAGTTTAAGTCTGTCATACAAACACAGCGGAGGTGGTGTGTGCAACGGCTAGAAAACA